CTTATTGTTCAATATATATATATATATATATATATATATATATATTATTCCTCTTGAAATTTTTTTTCTAAAAATATACATGTATGTGTATTTATATATTTTGCATATGTATGTATATTTTCCACTAATATCGTCTATCTATCTATCTATCTATCTATGTATCTATATATATATATATATATATATATATATATATATATATATATATATATATATATATATATATTAAAATATAGTTTTAAGGTATGCTATATTTATGGGAGAAAAATCCTCAATATCAGAGATAGAGCGTATGTAAATATAAAAAATGGAGATTGAATTTAACACTCCTAAGCGACAGACTGTTTCATGCTAAACGCAATCGTCAGGCCACACATACACACACATACATATATATATATATATATATATATACATATATATATACACATAAGTACTTGTATATATATATATATATATATATATATATATATATATATATATATTTTTTTTTTTAATTGCTACTATAAACGACATATTTAGAGACTATATACATTTCAATTTCTACCTTCTTTCTTTTTTGATATTCTGTGTCTGTTCAGGTTGTAAGCCTACATGGTCCTCCACATCTTCCTATCCCTTATATCTCTTCCAAAGTCTGTTCTGACATCCATTTACTCAAACCCATTAAGTATGTTACGCAGTTTTTCTTCTATCAATTTTTAACTCTGTCTGTCCTGTTAGTAACAGATTTTCTAATCCCCCCTTCCCCATTCTGCTGCCAGTTTTTAATTAAAAGTTTTCTTTTTGTTTCCATTCTCTGCCAAACGTCTGAATTTCTCACATGTTCGGCTCCTGGTAGATAGCTAGATATCTGTAGAACGGCATTTCTGTTGCGTCAAGATTCTTCTACCTCGCTGACAAGATTGTCCAGTATTCTGTGTCATTCGCGAGAACAGATATGACGTAACAGTTCCGTACTCTTTTCTTTGTTTCAAACGAAATTTGTCTCTGTCTCAGTACGCTGGTTAAGTTTTGGCATCCATCATTGGCCATCTTCGAATCTCAGTAATTAATGTCCCCGTCTTTTCTTTTCTTAAACAGTGTAGATTGAGATGATCTATCAAAGAAAGATTATGCGCCCAATTGGAATCAAAACTGTATCACGTAACCTTGATTGAGAAACTATTTTCCAATCATTTCTCACCAAGCAAATCGGCGGTTCCGCTAGTACGCAGGGAAGTAAAAGTGAAAAAAACGACTAGTTATAAGGGGTATTGAGGAAAGAATAAAAGATGAACGGGATCCAAGAAAATAGAAGATAGTTTTTGACGTTTCATTTAAATGTTTCATGATTGCAATTATCAGCGAAGAGCGGATACGGAGGGGAATTGTACAGGCTGGAAGTGCGAGACATTAAACTCTTGGAGTAGAAATGGCGGTGTAATATGGCTTTCAACAATAAAAACGTGGGAATTTGATTGCAATATTCTAGCATGCCTAAATTCCTGTAGTCGGGACAACAGAGAGAAAAACTGTTCAGAACAATTGCCATGATAGTATTTGTTGAAAAGACAGACGGCAGTCGCACTGCGTCGGTGAGAATTCAGTGAAGTCGAAATGACAAGTTAGATTTGATTAAGTTACACATCCTTCTTTGTATTTTGTGAAGAATTTCGAGGTCAATACCCGGAGCACTAGACCAAAATCAAAAGCAAACAACGCGCATGCACGAAATTAAAAGTATAAAATAGCGACAACTTCCGCATCGTACTATCTATCTATCTATATCTATATATATATATATATATATATATATAGGAATAAATAGGAAATTTTTATAAATTTATGGTTTAGCTTTTATTTAAGATTCATCAGAATAATAAATATGGCCTAGAAAAGAATATGTAGTGACACTGGCAAATTAATATGCCTAATTTGCATAAGTGCAAGAGAAAGCCTATATAACTCGTCACTGAGAGTAACGTGACACGAAGACAAGCTTAGCTGTACGTCTTCTGGGTCTGACTTCTGTCGAACTCTCTACTTTGACAGAGAGGAACCCGGACGAAGCTTTGCCGAAGGGCAAAGTTTTGTCCGGGGAGATAGACAGGTCCTGAACCCGTCTAGGCGGGTTCAAAAGGTATATTTTTCGCCGAGCCGACGGGTTCGGATAAACCCACGTTAAACTCGGCCTTGTGCTATATACATTCCTCGTGGGGGTCTTTTAAATACCGAAGACAAGCTTAGCGACTGACTAGTCCTAAACTTCGACTTCACATCAGAATATTTTTTATTTATTATCGGTAAAGCAGACATCCCATTTATCGCTCCTGTCAGGCAGCGTCTGTATGCATAATTCACGTGTGTGTGTATATCATGATTCTAGTTTTTCTTTGCTTGATTCGGATGATATTGTTTATTCGTCTGTGTGCTTCTAGTGGGCGCTTTCAACCTGTTTCTTGGTTGCCTATACGTTTATTTGGGGATCTTTTGCGTCTGATTGTAGGTAGATATATCT